CAAGCAGTATATGGCCCCCATAGATCACAATGAATCAAATCAAAAACGGCTTGAGCTTTATTATGACTAACAGAAAAAGACGACCGAGTTTGTTTGGACATAAAACAAATCTCACAGGTTTGAAGTTTCTTGACAACAGATTGGGATTTATTAAAATTGAAGAAAGAAAAAATATCAGATGATGGATGACCTAAGCGTTGGTGAAGGAGAAACGGATCAATTTGAGCAGCACTGGCCGACGCAGGAAAGGAAGCAAAGTGATAAACTCCGTTCTTTAGTTCACCCTGTCCAATCACCATCTTCGACAAACGGTCCTGTATTACACAACCATGAGCATTAAAAATTACATGACAAGGAGTATCCCGTATCAAGCATCCTACAGATATTAAATGGCAGTGCAAAGTAGGAACAAAGAAAACATGATGAAGCACCAAATGAGGAGATAGCCGAACACTTCCCTTCTTTGTAGCTTGAATACGAGATCCATCGGGTAGACAAATGGGACGAGGAGGTACATCCATTATATCAAACAAATGAGACAAAGTGCCCGTCATATGGTGAGAGGCACCACTATCAATCAACCACTCACAAGAGGTAGAGTTCATTATTAATATATTTGTTCTGACCAAACAAATACTTGTGCGACCAAATATTACCAGTATCAAATTGACCACTCACTTCAACCAACAAACACCCACTAATTACTCAAATTCCAATTAGCCAAAAAATAACCAAACCAACGGAATTGCAACTGGCGGCGAAACCTGGACGGACTGGAATTACCAGACGATTGGAAGAGCAGCGACTGGTTGGAATTACCGACAGACTGGAAATACCGACGACGGACTGGGCACACCGACGGTCTGGACGGACTGGGCAGCGACTGGACTTAACGGACAGAGGCGCTACTGAACAGTGATGATGGCGAGACAGACTACCGGCGACAAGGGGACAGCCCGGCGACGAAGAACGGACGGTGACGGGACGAAGAGCAGCGGCGACAGTAAACAGACGACTTCTAGGGTTTGACGTAACTTCCCAGAAAAATGCTCCGATACCATGTAAAATTTTATGAACTGAATTGCTTGGTTATTTCATTGATATGTCAAAGTATATATACAAGAGTTCCGGGCCCAACATGACAGACCCAATATACGATAATACAATAATTTGATTAAAGTGGGTGAGGATTAAAGTGGGTGAGGAGATAGGGAAAGAAGGAGCATATGGCCATTGAGCTAATTAAACTTCTGCGTAAACAACCAATATACATAGTATTATATTATACTCTTCCTGTTTAAAAAAATTGTGCCTTTAAATTGAGTAATTTGGATTTATTTTTTCATTATGACTCATTTATCCTACATATATCATCCTACTCTATTACGCAATATAAAATAAGGACAATATTAAAAAATAATACCAAAATTATTAATTTTAAGTGTGCAACTTTTTTCAAACGAGAAGGGTTTTATGGGACGAATGAAATATTATATTACAATTCTTTTTATTTATTGAACTGTAACATATATTTCACTCATAACTTTTTACACATATATCCAAACTCGACAAATTATGTCATTAGTAATAACTTTACGAGACTTATCCAAAAACCTAAAATTTGTTAGATTATATTATTTCTATGTCATACTTGCATCTTATATTATGAATTGAGTAGTATATTGAGCTTAACTCCTTCACACTCATCCCGCAATTCATAACAAATTTTTTCTCTCATCTCAATAATTTTTGTTTATTTGTATGTTTTGATTGATTATTTGATAAAATATAAAAATGATGACATCTTATTATATAAAATTTTGAGTATTTCCTAAATATGTAATTTTTATTTTTTATTCTTATACAATTTTACAAAGAAAATGATTTGAAAAACACAAAATTTTACCTCATAATTTTAAAATTCTTATCAAAATTGTGATAAAGGAGTACATTTTAGTTGGTACTCCGTACTTATATACCCATCAACGAATTTTCCTCCAATGAGAGTTGGTGTGATTTGTTTTTTTAAATAATAATCTGAAGTATTGTTAACCATCTACCTCTTTTTTAAAAGACTTAAAGTTAACTCTTTTCCAAAATTGATATCACCATTTAATTAGAATTTAGAAACAAAAAAACACTACGTAGTATTTTAGTTTAGCTTGGAATGGCTTTCTCATGTTTTTTTCTCGTTTAAATATTATTCGTACAGAATAGACTAGCTGTCTCCAGGAAAGCAAATCTAAAACAAGTAGTTGAGCCGGTGAACATTGTGCAGATAGCAAAAGCAGAGTCTCAAGCGAGTAATATCCATGTACAATTCCTATGGCATTGATCTTAAACGAAAATTTAATTTATTTTTCTACCGTGACCGTCGGATCGAATCTTTTCGCGAATGAGACAATCTTTTGCTAGTAATGGGATTCATCCTCTCTTTTGATAGGAGTAGTCGAGAATAAAAGTGGTTTAATTTGTCTTCTCTATTTATTTGCTACCTGTCAAAATATTGATACTTTTTTTGATTGGAGATCGTGTATCACTTCAACCACCATAAACATATTGCAACTCAAAAGATATTCTTTTTGTTAATTGAATAGTGCATAGTTGCATATCAAACCTATCCAAATTCCAAATCAACCACCTTTGTGATACACTATTCATGAGTGACAACAAGATTATCAATAATGGAGCTTCTGCCCGAGTAGTAGGGGTGCCCTGGACACGGTACCGGTGCGGTACCGTCACCGGAAACGGTACCGCCGGTACCGAGCACCGTAACGGCTACCGGGACGGTGAAACGGTTCCGAGAACCGAGACCGGTACCCTCTGTCCACCATAGATCTTCTCAGTCACTATTCACAGGGTCAAACTTTACTCACTTTGTTTGCTCATTTTTACTACTCATTTCTTAAAATAATATAGTCTTGTCACATCTAGTTTTGTAGAACTTTTCATGTAGTTTATTACTATATGAATTTTATTTTAAAATTTTACTTCTATAATCAAATAAATTAAATTGAAAATAAAGTCGGTCAAGCATCGTAACGCGTAATGAGAAAATCTTAGGTGGACGGAGGGAGTAATTCTTAACAATCTCTCAATTCTCAAATCTCAAATTTTAATTTCTCAATCTTAATATCTTATTATCTCTTTTATACATTCTTTTTTAAATATATTATATTTTAATATATAAAATTTCGAGATTATTTGAAATTTTCGAAATTTAATATTTCTTTAATATATAAAAATATATAATTTATATTTTATATATATTCTCTATTTTTTTTTGAAATTTTCAAAATTTTAATATATAAAATTTTGAATTTTTTTAAAGTATCAAAATTTAATATATTATTTTTTATATCAAAAAATATATATATTCTTTAAAATGTCGAGAGAGTCCGGTAGAAGGTCCGTGGATATGGGCGCCGTGAATCGAAGTTTGAGGAGTGGCAAAGCTAAAGCCACCTCCGACGGTTCGACCTCACGCGGTTCTCGAGGAAGACACTCCGTCTCTTCGTTTCCTACTGTCCCAGATCATTTAATCGGGGACGCTATGACGGATGAAGAATTCAACCAGATTTATTCTGGTAGAGGAGACGCGAATCTCCCCACTCTTGATAGTCTATTCGAGGATGTTGATGAAGCAGGACTGGATAATCTTGACGGGGACGATGAGCCTACACCGCAAAGCAACGACGTCGACGTGGAGGCAGGTGNATATTTATAAAATAGGTATTATTTGTGATCCACGATTTAAGATTGAAAATTTTAAAATTCTAATTGAGTATTACTACAGTTGTTTTTTAGATAAAAATAGTTATTACTACAGCTATTTAGTAGAATGGAAAAATGAAAGAGATAATGCTATAACTCTTTTTGAGGATTTGTTTAAGGAATATCAAGGGTTATACGGTACTGTACAAGAAGAAACAGCACCACCTCCGCCCGTGAAATCAAAAAAAGGTTTTGCCGGCATAGTCGGTGGGCTTCTTGCAAAGAAAGGGAAACGTGCCCAGTCTTCAAACGAGTTCAAGTGGTACAACAGTAAGCTCGCACAACGAACTTGCTATGTACCATGGTGTGCCATGCGATTATGATGACGACGATGTCGATTTTGACGTGCTCGGATGGTGGAAGCGGAACGAACACATGTTCCCATGTCTCGGCATGCTAGCAAGACAAGTGTTGTCCGTCCCAGTATCAACCGTAGCAGTTGAACGAGAATTCAGTGTTGGCGGCAACATTCTAACCGACTACCGAAGTTGTCTTAACGCTGAATCTCTTGAAACACTGGTTTGCAACCAAGATTGGCTCTTGGCAAGACGTCGGGCTCAAGAGTCATCGTACCAACTCGAATCGAAGCATTACATGAATGCAACCACAGATGGAAGTCCGAGTTCTGAAGAATAAGTTATAAATTTTTTTTATGTTAATGTAAATATGTAATTAATTTTTTAGGTGAGTGATATATAAGCTCCTTCGAGGGTTTCTTTACGGTTCTTTACCTCGTCGCTTTTTTTGAACCGTCAGGATATTAAATGTGGTTGTTCTTTTGTTAGTGTATTACTCATTTTCAATATTTAAATAACAACTACATTTTTAGATTTTTTATTTCATTCTTTCTTTAAACAATTGCAAATTTACAATTTTATACTTTAAAAATTTTAAAAAAAAAGAAAAAATAAATAAATAGGGGGGGCGAACCGGGCCGGTCCGGTGCCGGAACCGCTGGTCCGGGAACCGGAACCGGTACCGGCCGGCACGGTAACATTTCCGGTTACTTGGGGTGGCGGTACCGGAACCGGCGGTTCCGGAACCGCACCGTGTCCACCCCTAAGTAGGGGTATGAGAGTAGGGGTACACCAAGAAAAAATACTTGCTCCGTCCTAAAAAAAGTTTGACATATTTCGAAAAATTTACATCCCTTAAAGTTCTTTCTATTTTTATTAAAAAACTTCTTTTACCCCTTATTTTTTCTTACCCTACCTATCACATCATATCTTTTTTCTAATAATTTACTCATCACATCCTACTTTTACTCATCACATCAAAGGTATTTTTGGAAAATCAACACAAAATTATACCTCCTTATTTTACCACTTTAGTCAAAATGTTCTAACCTTTTTGGAACGAAGGGAGTACTAGTGAACGTTATCAAAAAAATTTACACTGACATTTTGTATCATTGTAAACCATTAGATTAGGGTTACACTAGCATAAAAGGGATATGAATATTTAAGACATTTTGTGATCTCCAAATTCAGATTTTTTTTATCAACCATAAACCTAAAATTTAATATGAAAAATGCTAGGGGTACACCAAAAGTGTACTTCAAATGTACATCACTCTTCAAATATATTGGCAAATAAATTAAAAATATAGATAAATAAAAATGAATGGTAGAAAAATGGGTGATGTACATTTGGGGTACACCAATAGTATCTCTCTTTTAATACTTCCTCCGTCCCATAAAGATTGGTACATTTTGACTAAAGTAGAAATTAAGGGAGAGATAATTTTGTGTTGACTTTCCAAAAATACCCTTGATGTGATGGGTAAAAGTATGCTGTGATGTGTAGATTAATAGGAAAAAAGTATGATGTGATAGGTAGGGTTTGAAAAAGTAAAGGGTAAAAGTGGTTTTTTAATAGAAAGGGGTAAGGGATTGTGGGACGCAATTTTTTTGAAACGTGTAAATCTTTTTGGGAGAGAGGGAGTATTTGTTAACCCATAAAAATATTTCAAAAGTTCTATAAAAACATCGATATTCAATAAAATTTAAATTAAATCAAAGGTTAACGTGCTGATATTGTAACTCAGTTTAATTTCTGTGAGCTATCACACTTGTGTGGGAAAATCACACTCATATTTTTTTAGTTCTAGTAGTGTATTTTTTTCACTTTTCTCCGCTTTTCCATTGTCTAATTAATTTTTTTTAGTATGCAAGTAGTTTTTTTTGTCATACAAGTGACAAAAGGCGAAAGAGAGAATGTGATGACTTCTGGTTGAGAGCAAAAAACATTTTCTTACCACTGAGAAGCTTAAAAAAAGTTTCCACACAAAGCAAAAATGATGGGAAGAATAGAGAAAACAAAAAGAGAGATTGGGTATCCAAAGATTGTTTTTTTAAACAGGCTTGTTTGGTGTACCCAAAGATTGTACAACAAAGTTTGCATTTGCTTTTTGATGCTTACATTGACATAATATATCACTGTGGTTTCAAGATTTCAAATTGGCATTTTGTGTCACTATAAGTCATCAGTCTCCTACTCACATTGACATGTGATATATACAAGTGTAAATATTTGAAATATATTTCAAGGTATAATTTTTGCATTGAGGTACAAGTATATTTTTTTAAAGGTGACATATTGGAGACTTTTTAAGACTGACATGGATAATTTATTCTCTTCAACTTATTTTTATTACCTACTCTTTTTAAGCTTTTTTTTTTTATTGAAATCAGATAACATCACATGAGATCAGAAATATCTTAATATATAACTACATTAAAATCACATTAAATCATATTAGAACTTAATTTAATTAAGACATAATTATTCAAATCATGTGGAGAGAACATAACCAATTAACCATAGTATATGAACTTAACTTTAGTCAATGTTTTTATATCCTTTTTCAATTTTAAGCGCATAAAGGATTTGGTGTAGGGTGAAAAATAATACTGGTACTGCTTTAGGAACTGGTATAAATATAAAAATAACTCATACATTCAAATTTTACCTCTTATAAAACGTGTACTCTCTCCGTCTTTTTTAAACGTTTATAGTACTCTCTCTGTCTCATAGTATAAATAAAAATAAACTTCAATTTTTTTTCATTTTTTTCAAAGTACTTCTACTTTCCATTAAAAAAATACTTTTATCAATATTTTTCATTTCTTTAGTTATCACATCATACTTTTTTACTAATAATTTACTCATCAAATATTATTTTTATCTCTCACATTAAAGATAAAAATTGGGAAATCAACTACAAATATACACTCCTTATTTTACCTATTAATCAAAACAAAAATGCTAAGTTATATCAAATGTCTACCACATTTGTACACCACCATGCCATCGTCTCCATCACACAATCTTGGATGTGGATAAGAAGAGTAGATCGAGAGTGGATAAAAAATTTATGGTGTAGAGATTAGTGGTGTACAAATAAGGTATATTAAGGAGTTTAATGGCTTGAACAAGTATATTTACGAATCATTACACTCTAGTAACTTCATACTCGTTTCATCATATTGTATGGAGTAAAATGACTTTCAAAATTTCACTCCCTCCATCTTAAAAAAAATTTCCAGTTAATTTATGAGATCTGACTGAAATCATTTAAAATTCAAAATGGAGAGAGTACTCGTTTTATACGAAATAACTAACAAAAATAAATAAAAAAATAATTAAAATTTGACCATGTAAAGATTATTTTAAAACAGAGAGACTAATTTATAATCACCTACATCAACCCTTTGTGTTGAGATGAAATTTAAATCTTGAGTACCAATGTATGTTTTGATGAATGAACTCTTGTAATCTTATTGGCCCTTTAATCTTATGGTCAAATCTCGACAACCACAATGAGAGAATTTTATTACTCCGTATTTGTAATGGATCATAGTGCGCATTAGACATGGATTGACTTCTCTAAGGACCAAATTTAAATTATGTCATGATTTACCCCTGTACAATCCTACTCGGTCGAGGTGTGAGGACGTCTAGGATGGGTGGTACCAGCATTAAATACTCCTATGGTGAATCTTTCATGAGATGCTAGCTTGAATTAAACTAGAAATAAACTTTTGTATCTCTAAAAATCAAAATCTCCCTCTAAACAAACTTTATCCACACAAATTAATTTTTTTTACTCCATAATTTTAAGTAATACAAAGTATAAAGTCAAACCATAACTAATTTGAAGGATAAATTCTGAAATTGGGAGAGTAATTTGTACTCTTTAAGTAGTAGTTAGTACCCTTCTTTCTTCTCTAATCATCAACTAATGAGTAGAATTATTAGAGCACTAGAAATACGTTTGAAGCACTGGGGTTTCAAACCGGGGCTTCAAACATTCTCTCTCTGCCACGTCAGCATTAACTTATACCAAAAATTCACTCGAAATGGGTTTGAAGCTCCGGGGCTTCAAACTAGGGCTTCAAACCTTCATTTTTAACATTTTTAAATATACATCTTCTAAATTTAAATTAATAAATTTAAATTAATTTATTATTTAAATTAATCATAATGAGACTAGTGCATTAAAAAATTACATTCATTAAAAAAATATTACATTCATAAACAAAATTACATTCATTAAAAAAATTACATTCATAAAAAATACATTCATAAAAAAAATTACATTGATTAAAAATATATTACATAAAAAACAACACTACAAAGAAATCACTAATTATTCGAGCGACTAAAGATATGTTCGATCAAATCCGCCGTTAGTGCATTGTGAATCTCTCGTCTTCGAATTTCTTGGCCGTTTCTTAGTTGATTTCTTCGTACATAGGCATCTCCTCGCCCGGGTTGTATTGACAAATCACAGTCTCGTTGTTCTCTATGATAATATTATGAAGAATAATACATGCGTACATTATATTCCTCATTATTGTTTGAGAATAACATTTCGACGGACGATCTGGAATGTGCCATTTACCCTTCAAGACCCTAAAGGCGTGTTCAATATCTTTTCTCGCCGCCTCTTGAGCTTTTTTGTTGGTCTGGTGTTTAAGACTCATTGGTTAAGAGAGGGATTTCACAATTGTGGAATAATCTGGATATATTCCATCAGCCAAATAATATCCACGCTTGTAAAGCGTCCCTCTAAGCTCAAAAGATGAGTCGGGTGCGGTCTCATTAATCCAATCGTAAAAAACAGGCGATTGATCGAGAATGTTGATGTCGTTGTTCGAGCCCACGACACCAAAAAAATCATGTCAAATCCACAAGTCATTCGTGGCAACATCTTCGAGCATGATAGTTGGCTTTGGATGATCTTCCCGGGAGAATTGACCGTGGCACGGAGTGGGACAATTTTTCCATTTCCAATGCGTGCAATCAATACTCCCAAGCATGCCGACTGATGGATATAATCCACTAGTACGACCTGGCAAGTTCACAGGCGCCCGGGGGTACCAAATTCTGACCCCACATGACCTCACCAACCTCGTAGCCTGACTGGATGGATGTCGGGAGTCAGACATGTGAGATCGTGATTACATTTGCATAAGGCTTAAAGTCTGACCAGGCTTGACCTCACCGTCCACGTTAATCTGCTCGGGTGGATGGCTTGAAGACTACCCGGGTGGATGTCTTGAAGACTGCCCGGGTGGATAACTTGAAGACTGCCCGGGTGGATAACTTGAAGATTGCCCGGGTGCATGACCTAAAGACTGCCCAGGTGGATGCCCTGAAGACTGCCCAGGTGGATGACCTAAATTGAAGACTGCCTAGGTGGATGACCTGAAGATTGCCCGGGTGGATGACCTGAAGATTGGATGGCTTGAAGACTGACCAGCCGGAAGAACAGGAACGTTGGGACGTGCTTGACGTGCTTGTTTTTATTATAAATACCCCTAAAAGCCTCATTTGTGAGGCATGCTTTAATTAACCTGCACGGCTTGTATTTGTAATAACTCCTATTATCATTAATAACAAACCGGGTTACAAGTGTTTCCACCTACAACCCTTCCGATCACTTACACTTAGCATTTGCGTGGTAATTTACACCATCACTGACAAAGCCGTGTTTAGTGGCATGCCTTGCCTGTAACTGCTGGATGTCGCTCGCTGTAGGCTTGCGTAAATATCTTTTATGATAAATTTGAATAATAGCTTTAAAAAATTTATAAACACATGACCTGATGCTCCGAGCTGACATCTTCAAGTATTCGTCGAACATATGAGATGTCGTCCCGTACGCCAACTGACAGAGCGCAGAAGTGCACTTCTAGACGCTACTAAACCCGCGTCGGCCTCTCGCATCAAAGCGTTGGATGAACCAAGGAACCTCGCGTTCAACATCGGCGAGTATGCGTAAAAAGAGAGGACGACTCATCCGAAAACGATTACTAAAATCATCCGGTGTATAAACACACGGAGTATTAAAGTAATCGTTTAGAAGTGAAGCGTGGGCGGCCGCTCGATCCCGGTTTAAACATTGTCGTCGGGAAGATTCGGCTTCTTCTTCTCCGCCTTCTTCCCACCATTGAATACAACTCGTGGCGTAACAACGAAAAAAGAGAGCTCTTTTTTCATCGTCGGATGAAGGTTATCACATTTTCAAAATATATTTTATAAATATTTATAATAAATAATAAATATTTAAGAGAGAAGATAGAGAGAGATGTGTGAGAGAATGATTTTTTAGGGGAAATTTATAGGTTTTTTTTAAATTTTGATTTTTTTATTTTGGGTTGGAGGGAACGGCTATATAGGGGTAACGGCTAAATGGGGGAATGTTGTGCGTCAAACGAATGACGGAGAAGCAACGATGCCCCGCTAACGCCGCAGGGGGGCAGTGTTTAACGTTCCCTCATGCCGGTTGGCGTTACGGGCATTACCAGTGCTCTTATAAATTGAGAATTGTGGAATGAAATCCTCTAGTTAATAAAAAACATCAGGGATTAAGAAAATCCATCAAACTGTCAAATTACCGATTTGACCCTATGGCCCCCGCTATCCAAACAGTCTAACGCCGTCAATTTCAAAATCTCATTCCCCCTCCCGATTTGATGCAACGTCTCCGTACACATCAAGCAAGTGGAGACCGGTGAGGAACTCCCTTTCTCCGATTACTAACGCCGCCGGCGACTCCCACCACCGGACAGAAACTCCGGCACCGGCGATACGCCGACGTGCTTCGTTTCCTCCTCCCCATCTCCGTCGTCGCGGTGCAGCACGGCGTCCGGCAATCCACGCTCCCGCTGCATCCGGAATCCATCTTGACAGAGCATAGCGGCTCCAGAACGGTGACCGGCGTCATCCGGCCGGCGGCGTGTTCCCCGCCCCATTCTTCATCAGTTTCCGGAGAGTCGCCGCCATCGTCATGTATGCTAATTAATTCCGAAAGCTGGACCCCACTACTGAGAAGATGCTGAAGCTGCTCGCGATAATTAAACAAAAAGAATTCCCAATTCTTAGAACACTAAAATTAAAGTGTTTTTTTATCTGAATTGAGAGTATGAAATTTAAAAAAAAAACAAACCTTGCAAGAAATTGAGCAAAAGACATGAGGAATTTGAAGAACCCTGTCACAATTCAGACAGGGGTTGCCGGAGCCTGCCCGGCAAGGCCGCGTCAACGGCCGTCGTTTCAAGAACACCACCTTTGCACCATTGTTAGTGTACGCCTGCAAAAGAAGAAGGAAAAAAAGACAGAATTTTTATTAAAAACAAAAAATCAAGAAACGGCAAACCCGTCAAATTAAAGAAAACGAAAAATTCGACCCCAGAAATTAATAAAACCCCATGAATTTCAAAAGCTCACTTGAACATAAGAGCAATCAAACAATTTCTCGGCGTCGGTGAGCTTTATAACATCATGGTACACATACCTTCTCACCTGCAGAAACATAAATCGATCATAGGTTATGATTAAAGAAGAATGAAAACAAAAAGATGGAATCTTTAATAAAAATTTGAAACCTGCAAGAGGGAGTGAGGATGAACACAATGGGAGCAAATTGCTTCAGAGCAGTCCAAGCAAAAAATGTTCTTTTCATTCTTCTTGAAACCTTCATGGGCTATGCAGGCGTTGAAGAACTTCTCGGTTAACAGGGCCAGCAACCATTGGGGAAGATGAGAAGAAGAACCATCATCCAGCTGCAAATTACAATAACAATTCGGTTGGCAATTTTTATATAAAAAAAAACACTTCTGCGAATTCAATTCACAGATGTTATTGGGAAGTTAGTAAAGAGAATGAATTGATCAGCCCACCATTTTCATTAATTACGAAACTAATTGGGGCGACTGTCCGATGGAAGGGGAGGGAAGGGAAGGTGATGGGTTTGGCTTTATTTTAGTCTGATGAGTAATAAATTAAAGTGGGAGTGTAAGCGTGGGATACTGTGATGACATCCCTAGATATATACTCGTATATCTTTGCATGGTGGCCACTGGCGATAATATAGAGAAGACTGATGTGTATTTTATTGCGACTATGATGACCTAGGATGTTCCGGTGCTTCATTAGTAAAATTGACGATTCTTACCCCCTAACTTCTCAGTAAACGCCCCCACCTCGTTCCGACCCGAACACTCTTCTCATTCCCTCCAATTGCATTCCCAAGTTAATTTTGACTTTGGAGTCAAATTTTAAAATTAAATTGGGAGTGCAATTGAAGGGAATGTGTTCGGGTCGGGGCAAGGTGGGGGTGTTTACCGGGGGATAGGGGTAGAATGGTCAATTTTACTAACGGGGCAACGGAATATCCCAGAGTCATCCCATGACATTGGTTGAGAACCAACCTCTTTTAATACGTCCCCCTCAAAAGAAATCTTGTCATTTTTACTTTTTATTCAATCTTTTAAATTGTTGATCACAAATTACGTTAAAAAATACTCCCATATCTCTAAAAATTTTCTTGTTTTGATTTTTTATGGTCACAGATCATGATACTCTTTGACTACAAATTATGAGAAAAAAGTATTGAATTATAATATAGTTTTAATATAATTGGGTTCATCTTGGTATATAATTTTGACATATCAAACTTCTATACTATTTACTTATTTAGATTATGCTTAATTTATGGTTAAAAATGTCACTGTTTGACAAAAAATCAAAACAGAATAATTTTTAGGGAAGCAAGAAGTATATCTTTAATAAATTAATTTTGAATTGTAGTTTGAATATACTATATTTTTATGATATATGTAGTCAAACTATTGCATTGAATATTGTGATAAGTCAAGACAAAAAAATTATGAATGGCAATTGCATATTATTTTCTCCATTCCATTTTAATATACGTTTCAGAACAATGTCAATCTTTATTCATTTTTAATACTCAATTTCAGTAATTATTTAATAAAATAATATAGTCATTTCACTTTTGTCTTATAAAACTACAAATGTAATTTTTAAATTTCTAATTTTTATTTTTAATTATTACGACGTACCCACTAATTTTCATACTTTGCATAAGTTGAATTGAAAATGATTTATGAAAAAAACCTAATAATACTCCTAAAGATATGACTTTTTACGAAAATACCTCCAAATTTGATAATTAACATCTTTGCTCCCAACTTTCTTATATTTTCACATCATTACTCCCCACTTCCCCAGTCCCCACATGTTCGGTCAGTTACTACGTGAAAAAAACTCACTTGTATTTTGAGTACTCTTTTTTCATTTTAAATTTATTATAAATTGTACCCCTAGATCTTTTAAATATTTAAAAAATTGAATTTTATTTAACTATATTTTTGGTATAGGTAATTACTTCATTTATATCATTTTCAATTATATAATTTTATTTTATTAAACTTAGTAGAGAATCAAACTCACACTAATAGTCTATAATAGATGAAGTATTGATAAATATTTAAAATTCATAAGGAAACTCAATTGAAAATATAAGAGCACGAAGGGGATAAAAATGTGATATGAGAATAAAAGTATGAATACAGTGCGTATGAACGGTATGAAGAAGACTTACGACTACTATTTTTAATAAATTTAAAATGCAAAAAAAAAATATTCAAAATACAAGTTAAATTTTTTTCCACGTAAGAGCTGACCAGACAAGTGAGAGTAACGACGTGAAGATAAAAAGGTTGGGAGCAATGATGTTACCTATCAAATTTGAAAGTATTTTCATAAAAAGGCATATTTTTAGAAGTATTCGTGTAAATTTGGGAGTGTTGGTAGTATGGTAAAAAGTGATGATAATATAATATGGGAGTGATTTATCAACCATCGGTAACCAGTATCACTATTTTAGTGGCGGACAACGAAGAATGATAGTAAGACAGTGATTGTCTACTGTAGCAGTTGCAAAGTAATACTCCCTCCGTCCCATTGTCTTTGTCCACTTACCTTTTGGCACATATCATCCAATGCACTTCTTTAATCCATTTTATCTTGTAATTTGTATATTAAAAAATTATAGAAATTATATATTAATAATATATATGTTAAGACAAATCAAACAAGATCACACATGACTATATTTAGGCTTACACATTGAGAGATTTTGATGAGTCAAAGTGCTTAGATGAACAGTTTCAAAAGTCAAAAGTGGACAAAGACAGTGGGACGGAGGGAGTAATGTGGTGAGTGTGATAATAACCGAGTAAATTCACTTTTGGTCTTAAGAGATTTATGATTAATTTTGGTGTTTTTATCATTTTTACTTTTATCCAAAGAATTTTCTCATTATTTTATTTATAAATTAGTATAGAAATAAAAATAAAACATATATATATACTTAAAAGTTTCATCAAAAGTTAAAATATAAAACAAAACACAATAAAAATATTTTATTTAATCAGATGATTCCATATTTGGTCCTTTATAACAGAGAGGTTTCCATATTTAGTCCTCTATTATCAAATATTACCCTCATAGTCCTTTTTTTAAAGGTGCCTTTCCACAAATGGTTCTTTTTTTGATCTTTTTCCATGTTGGTATTAATTTAAAGGCTAAAAGTATAATTTGACATCAACATTATGTCTAGTGACGTGTTCTGATATTAGTTAAGCGGATAACACAAAAACAATAACTATGATTGTGGGCTAAGATTCCGACGAAAGACCACATTTGTAGACTATGGTTGTAGTGGAAAGTGACTGTAATTCACAAACGGTGGAAACGGAGCAGCCTTTGGATTTGTGTATGACAAAAAAGATGTATTATCATTGCGAAATTACACTTTTAGCCTTCAAATTAATACCAACATGATAGAAGGTCAAAAAAGGACTATTTGTGGAAAGATACCCATAAAAGAAGGACCACTTGGATAATATTTGATAATAGAGGACTAAATAGGGAAACCTCCTATTATAAAGGACTAATTATGGAATTTACTAAAAAAACACTGTAAAATTTAATCTAGAGATTATAATGTTAAAGATGTACTCCATGATTGGTATTAGAGTAAATTGCAAAACGGGAGACTTTTGTTCAGTCATGTCACCGGGAATTTATTTGTTACACGTCCCGCCCCAAACCTAGTACTCCTAGTAGTAGCATCACAAAGTAAGATTTGGGTAATGATGAATGTTACAGTAATTACCTTTGAAATTACTGACGTACTCCCTCTATCCCCCTATATTTGTCCACATTTGACTTTTGAAACTATTCATCTAAGCACTTTAACTCATCAAATTCTCTCAATGTGTAAGCCTAAATATAGTTATGTGTGATCTTGTTTGATTTGTCTTAACAAATAGATTATTAATATATAATTTTTATAATTTTTTAACATACAATTTACAAGATAAAATAGATTTAAAAAGTGCATTACATGGTGTGCAAAAATGAAAGTGGACAAATATAGGGGGCGAATGGAGTACCTTTTAAATTTGATATGGTGTGTTTCATTTTATCCCAAACATTCAAATAAGTTAAATTTTATGGTGAACCTTAGATTAATAATGTGTATATATATATATATATATATATATATAATAAGTTTTTTTTTCTACTTAAATAAACATCTTGATGGATATCGTGTCTGATGGACCCGACTCCAAGCCCATAATAGCGCAAGATGGATAAGGCCAGGTGGGGGTAACGGGCCGAGCCCGCTATTACACGCATGGCGAATGGGAAAAGAACGGCCCAATCATGGATTAAATCAAGACGACCCAGTCCAAAGAAGGAACGGGACACGTGGCCCTCACCACCAGATTATGGACGAGATGAGAAGAGAACGAGACTGGAAAAGAGGGAATCACAACCTCATGATCTCCATAATTCCTTCCATTATGTATAATTTTAATTACAATTTTTGAAGTACTATAAAAGGGAAAAGAACCCGCCATTGTAAGGGGGGGGACAACTCAAACAATTCTACACTTAATCAAAGAATATTATTACGAGATTATATCTTTCTGATTCATATTACGTTCTTGGTCCACCATCCGATCGGGTTAATCCCATCACATCTATTTTTAAATATAAAAAATTATGTGAGAAAGTTCACAAAATTGACATACACCCAAGGTACAACAAAGAAGCACCTTTCAAATAAAATAGTGGGAGATCTATTATTAGTAATAGCTCCGTGTGAGCATTGAGCACGGGACGATCTCTATGAAGACCATATTGAGATTATAACATAATTTATCCTTTCAAAATTTTGTCGGGTCAGAGTGTGAGGGCACCTAACCTTTATTATTTTCTAAAGAAATCACCATAAATAAGAGTAAAACATGGAGAAAGAACTAAAATAAAAGTTCCATATTTTCATCATGATTGATAATGCAAATGTATTTTAACTCGTATTTTGGGAATAAAAACAAGAAACTCCTATTTTAGTATATTTTCAATGTTCTACTTCTACTTTAGTCTTTTTCCCTATGTTTTATCCTACTCAAAATGAATCATATATGTCCTTTAAACCAAGTACAAAATCATGAACTTCAAGTAATTTTCAAAATGGGTTTATTTGTAAATTAATATAAAAATAAAAAATAAAATTTATATATTTAATAACTACACAAAAGTGATAAAATAAAAAGTGAAAAAAATTATTTTATCAAATAATTAAAGAAATTGCAAACATGTACATGTTATCGAGAAACCGTAATAACAAATTCGGATAATCATTTTGGGTATAGTTTTATTTCAAAGAATACATAAGATCTTGGCTTATATAAAATAATTTTATTTAGAAAGTTGCATAAATATAAAAAGTACAACTTATTTATTTTTAAAAAATAGAAATTCTTCAAAATAAATAGTAACATGAAAATTTAATTTTATCAAATAATCAATAAAGATGTATGCACAAACAAAAGTTATCGAAAATATTAAATAGGTAAGAGTAAAAAATTTGGGACGGAGAAGAAGTTTTTTACTCTTTCCCCACATAATTACTACTA